AAGTTTTAAAAAGTAGGAAAAAACGAGAAAATATGTATAATTTATACAAATATAAAATTTCACTTCTTTGCTTTCAAGTCACAAGACGAATTTGATCATTTCTGCGCTAAAGTATTGAAATAATATTCCTGAAATACTTATTTATTTACACCCGCTGATAGACACTATCTTAATAATAAATACTGTTTTAATTAACCGATAAAAAGATATCGAACGCGCAATCGATGAAATTATTCCGCAATAAGTTGCACCTTAATTTGAGATATCACTTCTGACCGACCTCGCTTTATTCGGATCGTTACTGGTTTGTATTCGAGAAAAAAAAAAAAATAAAAAAGAATAGCCGACTGAGATTTTTACGGATGAGAAGATTGAAGGCGAGAAAACAACGGAGAAACAAAGATGAGAAAAGAGACGGGACGTTGGATCCTCGTCAAGACTTAACGAATTTATTTTGGTTTGCGTAATTGGATGGCTTTAAATCCCATTACATTCGCTTCTAGCGGAATACACGAGTCCCACTTTATCTCTGTAAACGTGCATCAGCCACCGATATTCTATTTGCACACGTATCTGTTAACCCTTTGCAAACTGCCGTCTATGGGCGAGAGGATTCACATAGCTTAAGTAAGTTGAATGAAAGAGCGATATTCTGTTATTTAACCAGAAATTCTGCAAGAACAAAAAAAAAATAACTGTATTTGATTCAAAATTATTGCGAAAATTTAAAACGCAAGATAATTTAATGTCATATTCTACTATCGAGAGATACGATAAAGATATTTCAATCACTAAAATTTGCATATACAAATACGAAACTATAAAATGACAAACAATTAAAGTAACATTATAATAAGATATTTTGTATCATATTTATTCAGCGCGTTCAACTTTAAAAAATTTTACATCTGCATAATTTATGTAGAATTTTACATGCACCACGTTATGCAAAATCAAACATATTCAAATTTACCATTAATAATGCGAATTCAAATTTTCACAGGAAAGTAAATTATCGGCAGAAATCCATCCTTAAGAACTCGTTACTACCATTGTACGAGTTTTTACGCTACACTTAATCGTAAATTCTCCTGATTTTTCGAGGAAATTAAGATGTAATTTGCCAGTTCTCGAACGAACTATTCTAACGAAGTGTCCTATAACTTTGTTCAAAATGCATTTCCATAAAATATCTATTAAGTGCTAGAAAAAACATTACGATTTTAGAGCGCACTAATTACATAAAGAAATAAAGAGAATTAATATCTATATATCTACTATTCACGACTATCGGTGGTTTACATATTCTACGAGATCGTACTTTTATAGATCCTTTTTCATCTCTTTATTTCAACACCGCCTACAGCAAACGAATGTTACGTGCATCTCGTTGCTCAGAAATATAACCACGGTAAAACTCACGAAGACGAAACGGAAAACGCCGCGGGGAAACTTTTCTGCGAAAGATAATTTCGCCTTGGCGCCGGTTAAATATACATTTTCGTTAAGTTTTGAAACACGCGAAAAGTCATTTCGAGCGTTACACCGTGATTTGGGGCGCGGAATGACGGCTGACCCGCAGCAGGACGAATTACCGGCAGGTTAATTGTAAAGTGGTTAGAGGGAGAGAACGCTGTTGCTGATGTACCACAGCCTTAAAATTGAATTATGCCGTCGCTGAATATGCATGAGATGTCGTTCGTCGCTTCCTGAACGCGGCTCGTTAAAAACCCTTGAACAGATGGGAATTTATGATTTGCCGGACGACCGGCAAGAAAAATGCGCCAAAAAACACAAATTGCCCGACGCGACTTAACATTTCCTCTATCGACTTTCGTGTTTTCACGTCGACTTTTCGTTTCTAATTAAGCGGCTTGTTTTAGAAAGAGACCTGAGCCATCATATTATAAGTTAATGACGAGTCACAAATTTGTTTCTACAAAGTTACATTTTGATGTAAAAAGGAACATTTTGTTGCGATTGGCACGAATTTTATTAATGCAACTAATTAATGAAATTAATTAAAAACGATCTCTTTTTAGCGCAATTTGCTCCGATAGAAAGTAAAAGTATGAGAGACACTTTAATCTTTTTCGACACTTTAATGTATCCTCTTTTCATCTCGCTTGATCTTGCGGAGGTTCTCACAATAGAACTGATCTAAGGAATCCAAGGACCAGTTATCATTTCAATAATGATATCAATCTTTTTGCAACATAAAGAAATCCGACAGATATAAAAAGGCAGATATAAAAGTAGTATATTTTCGAGGAGATTCGTCATTCCTTTCTGGCTTCGATCAGTAAAACTTTTTGCCGTGAGCGATACGCAAGAAAGAAGAACCCGCAACGGCTGATTGCCAAGCAACGTTTCAATCGTTCTGGAATTGAAAAAGTGGTGACGTCTAAAGAAGATTTCAAAGGACCATGACAAAGCTTCAATGGCCACAGTCATGAAGAATAATGACAAGTATTCAGACATTCTGTAACTATGAAAAACAATTGTATGCAAATAATGTATGAAACCTATATTTGCCTTATCTTCTCAATCATAGAATTAATTACCTAATTTGAATATAATTAAAAGTGCAAGAGTGACTACGAATATTTGAACGATTATAAAACTTTTTGCAACAGAGTACTTAATCATCCTACATTAAGATTTTACATTAAAGTTAATTTATATTGCAACTTCTAAAAAGGAAACTTTTATTCTTTTCAGAACGAACATCCCGGCGAACAATATTCACCGTTATAACGCGAGATTTTAATAGTTTAATAGTTCCATTTCGAAACAAATTCGTGAAAACATGAGAAGATGCAAAAAGAAAAGATTCGTAATAAATTCTCTGGAGGAAAGTTTCATTAGTCTTAAAATTGAGAAAATCGTATGACAAAGAGCTAGACGCAGGCGGATCCGTGACGAAGCGCTCGCGTCAACAGGCGACTTGGTATTTTCACCCTCCTCACCCCTCGCAGTTCCTAACACAATTAACTGCAGCAGGTTGAAATCGAATTAGTTCGTATCGGATGCTGCTTAATTTCGCCGGCTCGCCCATATATCGATAGGTAGTACAGTTTTCCCGAGTGAGCTTGACGGCGACCGAGTTTTTACAGATCGAATAAAAAAAAGTTGGTTTTTTTTTTTTGTATCTCTTTTTCTCTGTTCGTGCCTCTCTCGGTTGGCAAACGGCGGCACCTCTTTCGAATAACGCGGGTCACGACGTCGAAAATGTGGGTCGTGTATATGCGAAAACAGAGGAATGTTTCGGAGTCAGCGCGCGTTTATTCTGGTAAACGAGAACCGAGTGTGATTTTGCCCGAAGGAAGAGTATATACGATATCGCGTTAAGTGCTTCGAAGCAGGGTCTCTCGCAATATACATTAGAGAAACCTCATTGGACGATAAAAGATGAGATTTTCTCGACTTGAACGCATTACTGAAATTTCCTTTGTTCACATGACACGCGTTTTATATAGATAGTCCTCCGCTTTTCTACAACGCGATTAAGAAATATCTTTAAAATTCAAATGGGATATCAAGTTCTATTATTTCCTTGCTTAATCCTCCGCGTATTCATGTTTTTGTCTACAATTGTAGAAAAATATCTATAGACACTAAATAATAAATTTTTTTCAATGTATTTGCGTAAAATTAAAATTTAGTTCATAAAATGCAATATTGAATATTGTGATATTCTTGATAACAAAAAATCCACTCCAAAAGAAAGTCAAGAATATGTAGGTGAAGAAAAATGCGATAGTTCCGACACATACGATAGTTCCGACACATACGATATGTTTTCAGATATTGATATCTCTAACATTCGGATATACTGGTCGTTCTATTCTCTTTTCTATTTTCTCACTTCCTTGCTTTTCTTTCGCAACAAAATGCGCGCGCAACTGAATTCTGGCGAAAGAATAAACAGCTAGTGTGTTCGCTCCGATGGATATTTCACGTCTCTTCTCCGAGGCCCCAGGAATATATATATACCCTACTCCACGAAAATAGTTTTAAAAATAAAAACACTGTAGGGACTGCTATCAAAATTGACAAAAATGAAACTAAAATAGAAGAAATCCAAAATAGAAAATAATTTTTTAATAAAACGATTTAATAATAAAATCTATTTCGATACTTTGAATCGCGTTTAAAATTCACGATTGATCAATAGTAAAAAAAATAAAAATAAAAATATTTTTAAAAGAGCACAGAATAAAAGATAAAACAAAATATTACAAACTATGAGTAACTAATCTGTAAAAATGTCTATTTGTGTTATTGTATTAAGTTATTGTATCTATATATCTCTTGTATATATATTCAAACTAAAACCTATTAATTATAGTATTATGTAACTTTATAGAATTTTTTGACGATAGATAAAAGAATTTATTTCGTTTCAAAAAATAAGATTTTATTTCTGGCCATTCTTATTTTATGTACCATAAACTAATTAAGATTATTGGATGGGTTTGCTTTGGTTATTCAGTAATTATTGAGATACCCGATAATTGGGCGTTCGATTAATCGGTTTCTAGTTACACGCAAAGCGCGGTAGATAATCAAGGCCAAACTCGAGTAACTAGATTTCAATGAGAGCGTGCCGAAAGCGCGCAGCTTGAGATTTGGCGGAAGGTGGAAATGCCTGAGATTCTCGCGCTCTTCACTGATAAAGGAACACGGCCTGGCAACAGCAGATTTATACTTTATACTTAGCATATCCTCTTTAATTAGCGGCTACTGATCATTAAGAGCAATTTTTACTTAACGCTTGTTTTAATTAATAATCGCATTAATAATTCTGCATGTTGCAGTTCTAATTACGATATTTCTTAGTATTCGTTAAACCAAAAAAATAAAATTGGTAACGTATATTTAGATATCGAGAAATTTCTGGATAAATTTGGAATATTCATTCTGCAATTGCGATAATTATTACCGCATTAAAGCATTCGTTTGACAGTGACGGTTAAATGGGGTGATTATTCTCTCAGGTGCAGGTTCAGCGGTAGCGATGATCGGAGCTAATCTGAGGTTCGGCATTGGCGCTTCCGGAAATGTCACGTCCAACGCCACCAAGGTATTCCAGTGTCATCCCGGTGGTGTGACCGAGGCGACCATCATATTTAGCCTCGGTGCAATGGGGATGGGAGCAAATCTCATCCTCATGGCGCTTATATTGGCGAAACGACAGCTGCGCAGGTACGCGAAACGATAATAATCCGTCGACGAACGACGCTTTATGACCACCGCGCTTTGCACAGACTGATCCGGGAATAATACACGAGAATTCTCCCGTTATGACGTCCGATATTCGCTCGTGCGAGACAAAACCGCGTCAAACCCAGCGTACCGCCGTCGCATAGCAAAAATTACGCGACTGTGATTTTTCGCGAATAGAAAGAAAGTGTTGCGCAATATGGAAAGTACAGCCGTACACTCTTTTGCGCTCTATTGCACCCAGGTTCAATAATATTGCGTAGTCAGCGAACTTATTTGATAGAAACGTGCCATTGCAATAAAATAAAGCAAATTTGCTGTGCTGTGCATTTTACGTTTTCAAACAAAATTTATGAGCAACTTCAGCCATACCGTACATGGATTTACTTCAATCAGCGAAAGAGAGTGCCGCGCTCGAAACTTGTTAAACTCAATTTCAGTAAGTGAACAGGTAGAAGTATATTGCGAGGTTGCTATTTTTTACCAAATAAAACCTCGATTGTATGTTGCGAGTAAACAAAATATTCGCACTTGGTATGCCAATATAAACTCTACGTGAACTGTACGTAGAGTTTATATTGGGTGCACGCAATAAAAACCTGAATAACAGTGCTTTTAAAAACGTGTTCTAATATAAACTTAAAGTCAATTTTCTTTAGAAAAAGAAACGTTGATTCTTTTTTACTTGAATAAATACTTTTTCTGACTACATAATTTCCTTTTCAAGAATTAAATTACATCGATTTAAATAAACAAAATTTTGCATTTAATTTTATTTTAATTAAAATTAAAAATTTAGTTCCAAAATATTGAATGTTAAATAGTAATGACATATTTCCATTTTGTTTACTCACATATATGAATTTCAATTCATGTACAACTGCAAATAACAGCAACTATGGGTTTGTGAAATACGAAGATGCATCATGGATGATGCAAGTCTAGGATTAGCGAAGAAGATGAAAGCGGGAATAACGTTGACGCATTTATCCCGGGATTTACAGGTGGTCTCAGGGACTATTATTCCATCAAGCCATGGTGGACTGCGCGAGGGCCGCTATATTGCTACCCCTGGGATCTAGTATATTGAATTGTCAGCCCGTTAACAAGTGCTCTCTAGTCGAGACTGCCTTTCTGCTACTCGTGACCGTTTCCACCGTAAATATGCTAACGACTGTACTCAACGACAGCCCGGTATTCCCGGAGAGCGACGAGGAGGCAGATCTGACCGCTCCCCTGCTGATGGACTCGCCCCAGGTAAGAATTACAGCCGATTATTGCACCGTGTTAACCATGATTTCTACTCACAATTACCCCATAATTACCTTTAGATATAATGTAAAGTATAATTTAGAATGTAAGTTTGTATGTGCATAAACTCTCGAGTCTTAACATACAAGTTTCAGCTTACTTATTCAGCTTACTTATCTCTCTGCTCTGAACTCACTTCAAGTTTATTATCGTAACTTCCAAATCTCGGTATTCCACCCTATTAATCCCACGTTTAACATTATGCTATTCTATTATAACTATTTTTGTTATATTCTTTTGTATGTCGCTCTGTATTCGTCTTTATATCGATATTAAATGACAAATCTATACGATTCAATAAAGACTAATGAAAAATAAATATCACGTTTGATGGTGTTGGCTCAAGTTAAGTCAGACCCGTTTGCTCGTGGCAATTGATCAAAAACACTGACATATGGACAAACCGTGTGACTTCGGTTAACGCAGACGGCGGTCGTCCATCTCGCATGCAGAACGAGAGATTTCCATCTAACCGCGGCGTTGTGATGGCGAATTTAGCGGTGACTGATTGCGGTGCAAATCCGTACGCGTCGCGATGCCACTGTGAACGTGTCGAAGCACGCGTGGCCGGAGTGAACCGGATTTTTCCAAGGGAAATTAATCGTGCTGCCAGAGAGAGATGTTAATGCTAGACTCAGAAATATAAAATTCTTTAAAAAATATTCGCAATATTTCAAAATTATCTTGTCAAGACATTTTATATTGAATTAATAAATACTCAAACATTAGGAACAAATATTAAGAAAATTATAAAATTTTAATTTGCAAATGCCGACTACTTGATTTACTATATAAAATTATTAAAATTCATATTTTTTTATATAATTTACTATTCAATCTAAAGCAAATTTCATTTTAAAAAATTGTAATTTAGAACTTTTACTCGCTGAAATATTTAATTAAAAATTCAAAAGTCGCGAGAAAAAACGGGTGAAGAAAAATCCGAGGAAAGTCATTTTCAAATTCGTCAGACCATACACTTCTAAATTGCGATGCAAATCTTACGAGGTATATAATTAGATCCATATTATTAGAGTACTACTCAAGATACTAAATTAGTGTAATTAATTCCCTAACAACTCGATTTCCCTGCGCGCGTGTACTAACAGTCAGTCCTAAATTAATTTGGGTAACGTGGTAGATAACTTAGATTCCTAATGACACTCGACTTGCTGTTACAGCAACAAAATTCTAATGGCATTATTGTATATACATATGAGTTGGCCGAGTTGTTCATTATTGCGTATCTATAGCGAGAAAATAACACATCTGCGGTCTTACAAACGTCAAATTAATTTTTTATATTTATGCAACGTTAATAGAATATTAAATACTCTTCGGGGCAATGCATTTGTAACAGTAACGTTTCTGGCAGGACTCGACAGAAACGCCACTTAAAATAGTATTTTATTGCATTCCTCTTCGAGCGTTGCGGTCGTAGCAGTATCTGATCAAACTTGTGTTCAACAAAGTGAGTTCTATCCTTTGTAATGGCGGATCAATTACGGATTACATAGACGTGAACAGCACAGATGTGTTGAGCTTCGGAGCTTAAACGAAGACAGTAGGATTACCGTAAATTCGCTAGATTGACTAATCACAATATCCTAAATAAAATTGTACTTGATTGAACAAATAATTTTTTATGAAATTTTATAGAAATCTACCATGTATATGAATGTTTTCTAAAAATTTATGATTATTTGCAATCATTAATGGTTTTCCAATATTATCTACACAATTTTCTCTTGCATTGTACCAAATTTATATTTATCGCAAAAACATTCTATTGCTAAAAAATGGCTGTATTAAACAATGTAGTGCGTTAAATTTCATTTAAATTTGCAATTTTAAATTCGTTTCTATTTATGGAGCTTGTACAAATTGCCTACGATGATTAAGTAATTAGGTTAAAATAACTCGCATCTCGCAATACCGTCGAATATTTACGAAGCGCGAAGGAAAATATTTGCACAGAATTAAGCACTTTCATCAGACTGTGTAAAACACAGTTTGTTTTGTACTTTAATAAGTAGATATGAGCAATCAGCAAAGATTGAAATTTTATACTCTTATTATACTGAAAAAGAATAAAAAAACTTTATAGCAATTTGTAAAAAGAATGTTCAAGATAATAATAATCAATATTCGAAAATTATTTCTATTTCTCGAATGAATTCCGTTTATCAAGTTTTATGAGAAACTCAGAAATAAAAAAATTTAATGTTATTTGAAAAATCTAGTAAGAAAGAAAAGAATTGCAAATGTAATTCGCGAAAATGTTGCCAGCTTGCGGAAATTCTGAGTAAATTGCGAAAAAAAACGCATTTACATACCGCAAATGGAAAAATATTTCCGCAACTTTTCTCAAACGACTTTTCGTACTGTTTGCAGTGTGTGCTCTTTGGCACCTTCATGATCTGGTTCGCCAGCATAACGATAAATCTGGGACCTACGTTTCTCAGTGGAGCTTTAGCAGCAAATACAGAGAGCGGCCACAATGCACCCAGCTGCCCGTTGGTGCATGGCCCTTTTCGCCACTACATACTCAATGTCCTTTGGATCGTTATCAACATCATTTGCGTGGCACTCACGCTCTTCCACTTGAGAAAATTGCACAGGGATTTGACAAAAGCTAATGTCGAGGCGGTGAGTGACAATATCGATATATGTCAAACCGCACTATTATAAATATATTATTATCGACATAAATATATACGAATAACAATGTATAAAGCAACAACAAAAATTAATGGTTCTGAAAAATACTAAAATTTATAAAATATAATGCGTAACAAAAATATACCATGAACATAATTTTGAGTAACATTGTTTTTATATTTTTGTGAGAAAATATTTTTCTATTTAAAAATATTTCATAACCATTATTTACATTCACATTGTATATCTCGGAACCATTACTTGTCTAATTTAACAAATTTCTCTCATTTTCATATAAATGCTTATTTGCAGGTACGAGTAGCCGGTCTCGTTACGACACTCGTTAACGTGACAGGAGGACGTCAGGGTGCAACAAATGCGCTCGCAACCGAAGACAGTACAGTTGACACGAGGAACGGTACGACGCCAAAAGTAAGAATCTTTATTTAATAAATGAAAAAAAAATTTTACTCTTATTTCGATCGACAGTTTAAACAATAATTTAATATTTCTTTAATTTATCCTTTAAGTATCATTAATAATTAATCATCTACATTTTTTGCGTACGTTTGTGATCGTAGAACTTTTTCTTGGATGCGTTCTCGTTTTTACATTCTTGCAAATGCAAACGAAGCGTATGTGCCAAGCAAAATGAAGATAAAAGGAGGAAGTGTGTGCCAGAGAGCGCGCTTTGAAGATTTAAAATCATACAAAAGCACCTATCGATATTTCAGAGGACCGGCGCCATCGAGGAGCATCGAAAAATGAGGAATTATCTCAGGAGAATGGAACGCGAGGGCGTACAAAGGGTGAAAATGTTCCTGGTCATAACAACGGCGTATGTCATATTCTGGGGACCATTGTTTTTCGTTACTCTGGTGCACCATCCCATCATAGGCAATCCTACTGGCTATGAGGTAATTAGAATAAAGTACCACGACTAGATAATGGCAATTTCGTATATGCGTTCGGGCTAATGTTACTCCTGCGAAATTTATTAGACACTATCAATATTTATGTCCCACAAATAACCCCGCGATCGTTACTTATCTCGTACATAATTCTACATTTACTAAGCACCCACAGTACATCAGTGCGAATATTAATACACATTCTACGAATGTTTCGCGCATGGTCACGGAGGAAATTGTGCTCCGGTAAAAACAGCATATCGTATTGTTTATTTATCTCGCGAATAAGGTCCCTTATTAATTTCGAAAGATTTGCTGACCAGGAATAATCGTTGGTCACATCAGGAGTTACGTTTGTACATTTATAAATATAAATAAATGTAAGTGCAAGTGTAAGTGTAAGTGTTATCGATTATAAATGAAACCGATTGTCTGGCAATACTGTCTATAAATAAATATCGGTACATAATTTAATTCCTGCTCGTTCTTCTCTCTTAAATTGCAATATTTTAAATACTACAAATTGGCACGACTAGTTATTTAAACATACGTGTGAAATGTTACGGAGCATGTCAAACGACTTCAGTTTTGTTTCCGATACCAATACAAAGTGCTGATGGGAACAAATGCGAGAAGTTCGCGGGAAAACATGAAAGCAAAACTTATTCGACCGTGCCGATACACAGTCGTTCGTGAATCGCAAGTCGATCGAGCGAATTCGCAGCTACGAGCAGAGTTCCTTCGAAGAATCTCTCCACGAGAATATAAATTTTCGTAACAAGAAAGTGCGCCGAAAAACTCGGCAAGCAAGTTAAAGGCATCGCGCAAAGGTTTTGCTGATGCAATATCGCAGCAGATGCACGAAATAGCTGCATTCAATCTCCACGGTGTGCAATAATGCGGTAATTTAACAAAAAATTGCAATAAAAAGTGTAATTTAAAAAAAGACAACTCGTATTACGATGCGTTCCACTTGCTCATCGATCTAATTCTCGATAATTTATGATTCATAATTTGCTTAATAAAATAATGCAAAAATGAGCTAAAATTTATTTTAAAAACGCTCTGGAAAAGTGTAAACTTTTAATATAAAAATTTTAAATTGTATGGTGATTTCTATCCCCAATAGTTTCACTTAAATATCTTAAATTCCAATATATATTTTTTCAGAACGTACAAATATAATATTTTGTACTTTTTAAATACGATCCTTGTTTAATTTAAACAATCAAATTCACATAAAATTAATATTTTTCATCGTTCATATGAAAAGATTTATTTCATATAACCATTATTTTTACAAAAATTAAAATACCCTTTCTATGTAATTTCTCTCACGCGATCATTTTTTAACTGTAATATTATATATATAAATTCGATCCAGTCTACACAAAACTATATTTACAATTTGCATCGTGCATGTAAATCATGGGATTCTACGGTTTGTTATACCAGATAACCTTGCACATCGCATATGTGCACGCCTTCGTAAACCCGGCTCTGTTCCTCGCTCTGCATCGAGGGCTACGACAAGGGATGTCGGACGTGTGTTGCGGCTGCTGCGAGAGCATAGCCCGATGGATTCTCGGATCCGCTGCTACCAGCCCGATACAGAGCGTTCATCCGCCCCGATACGAACCGCCGATGAATCTCCCTTCGCCACCGGACCCACCCCTGGCGGCGCAGGCCGTACCGGGGTGTAATCTTACCGACGTGGCGCTCCTGAAACCACCCTTGCCACCGACTGCCAAGCACTTGCTTGTGGTAGGACACCCGTCCGAATAATCGCCGATTTAATCACTTAAAGATTCATCTTTAACAACTCAGAGATACTACGTTCTAATCACTTCAAGATTAATCCTTATTACTCAAAGATTATTTTTCTTAATGCTCCTTTTCCAGAATGCTAATTTTTATATAATTTTTATCATAGAAATATTTTGCTCAAGACTGTGATAAAAATATAATATAATTATTTTATTAGGATGATCCTATCACGGTGCCACCTGATCCTTGGAGTCTGACCTCAAGACCGAAGAGCACTTCCAGTCTCTTTGAAGAAGAACTATCCAGGAGACCAAGCCTCTTATTACCACCACCCACGGAATTAAATGATCTCCAAATGAGCCCGACCAGTAGCGACTTGCCCAGCGAATAAACGAGAGGATCAATTAAAAAAAAAATTAATAGAGAAACGCAAAAAGAATCACGACATTAATCGATGACAATGTAAAAATAATCGTAAAAATGAGGAGAAAAATGGATTTTTCGAAAAAAAAACCCTTCGTACAAAATCCTTTCCTAAAACACTGTATTCCTATCAGACGTTTGTCAACGAAGCAAAAATCAAAGGAATTATTTATTATAAATACTATGTCAGCTAACAACATTTTTAATGACAATTAACATTTTATCAGCAAAAATATCACGACTATTTGCACTTGCGTAATTTGCTCTCAGATCTGTAAAGTTTTACATTCATGCAATTTTTGCACAATAATGTTGGTAAATTCAAGATTCAATTTAAAATAAATTAAGAATCAATTTCATTGTAACTTCATTTCAATGTGCAGTAAATTTAATCACAAAGATAATGTATCTTGAACTTCCTTAGAAATTAATTATTAAACAATTGATGTGCGTGATTGCTATACGATATGCACATCTAATAGACTTAAAAATATCGACAGACTGACTTTTTTCAAAACTCATATTTGCGTCTGAGACAATTCACATAATTGTTACGTCTGAGATTATCAATCGGAATAATTACTAAATATCATTGTTTTTACACCTAAGAAACAGCGTCGTCACATTTTTGTGCTTTGAACACATGTATAGTTTTATTTTTCACAAATTCATGATTTATTTCCGATAATTTTTATCTTAAAAATATTTTGAAATTAAATTATAGAAATCGAAAATTTATTTTAATTATTTAATCAGCAGTGCAACTTGAATTTTATACTAATTTAATATTTTAGGACATCTTGTATACATCCACTAAACGATGAAAGTATACTTGCTTATAATTATCTTAAAACCCATTATTTTGAAGTATCGTTCAAGGAAAATAAAATTTTAATTTTTTGTAGAAAAAATTATACTGTATATTGTGGTAAAATCTACTAACACAGAACAAAAACACGAGGAGAAAAGAAATATAGTCTACCGGGCATCATCTAAATGTATCTGTGATTGCTTATAAAGCTTATACGTCCTAGTCCTCATCGTGATGTCACTGATAGATCTTATCTTAGAGAAGATATATGCATATTATGTACTCTATGTATATATAGACAGAGCAATACGCTATATCTTAGACACATTAGGTAACTGTGTAATTCATGATTTGTTTTGTCAGCTGCACTTTCAGTAAGAACAAAAATAAAAACGAAACGAGTATCTAATAAGGCAGAGAAGAACAACGGAAGACTGTAGAAAGTGCAACTAAAAGAAACAGATCTAAATTTCTTCATTAAACCGAGCTATAGATGCACTTACTAAATGTACATAACGATCGAATGTATAGTCCTGCCACGCTTAAGTTCTTTGTAAAGTGGCACTATCGCGTGAGCTTCATCATTTGGGGACTCAATCTTCTCGAAACGAGATATCTTATATATAATGGATTATATATATATTTTCTATGCGAGATTTTAGAGATTGCACCCGTTGCAAGCGCATCAGATACGTCAGCGTTCCGCCGATTCAACTGCGCGTTACACCGATGTTTTTATTTTATGCAAATGACAAAAAGTGATTAACGAGACGAGGAAAGCAGACTAACCGGTCATTTAATATGTAAACAGAAAATTAGGAATAGTTACGGCCAGTAAATATAGATTTTCCGTATTTCGTTAAAATTTTTTGCTAATGTGCATTTGTTATATTACCGCATATTTTAAACTTTTGCTCATCACTTTTCTTTAATGAAAAGAAATCGAGAGCTATATTGGAAATACTTCCCCCAAAATTATGATATTAAATAATCAATATTGGCAAATATATTTAAAAAATAACAGAATCTGGGCATTAACAAATAAAAAAAATGTGATGAGAAGAATCGTGATTGTTAAGAACAATCAAAGCTCACTTGATCGAATTTGAAATTAACCAAACTCGATTAAAATTTAAGATTATTTTATCCTGTGCTTATTTCAAACGTATATACGTGATATTTGACACGGATTAAAAGTATAATTCCTATTTTGAAAATTATGAAAATAATTAAAAGCAGTAATTCACTAATTTGCAAGAAATTGTAAGAATTATTCATATCATGCTCTGCGTCGTATATTAGCGCATTATAATCGTGATAAATTATTCTCTCAACTAATGAACGTATTTCAATCCTAAGACAGATAATCGACGTTTTCCAACATAGTGTGATAACTAAAAAATCCTTAACATGTTTATATTATTTATAAGTCTGATTAAAAACAATGTAAACTGAATACTGTAGCTTTTTTCAAAATTATTGAAAAACTATACGTTACTGGCACAATTAAAATATATTGATTAAAAAACTATATAATATATGATTTTAAACTATGTACTATAAAGTATATTAAAATAATAAAAATTATTTCTTACTGTATAGCGAAAGGCATATCAATGTAAAGCGTCAAGTGTGAAAACAAGTATGCTATGTAACTTTAAGCGGCAAGTGCTCATGTTTTTTATTAAAATTATGTGAGATTAATATCCTCATCCCATCTTTCCCTTTTTTCATTCACCGGAAATGTGTTAAAAGCAGTATCCAAAAAATGCTGCTTGGATACAAGTCAATTAATCGTGACACTTTTTCCTTAGGTACATCACATATAATATAAATGTTTAATGTAAATTAATGTAAAGTACATGTAAGGAAGTGTCCAAACTAGATCGAAATTTTTTATCGTAATTTTATAAATGCAACGTCGAGAATGAAAGTGGCCAAAAAAATAAGTTAATGGCAATTGTAAGAAGATATACAGGTGTATAAAAATATTTTAGTATGTGTTTTATATATTGCATAATCTAATTTTACAGAATGTATTACGTAATTTATCTTGCAATTATTATCTGACTTTTAAATGGATTAAATGTAAAATTTTTAATCGTCTATAAGCAATCTGAACTATTGTACATTCTAAGTGTATAGCTCATACTTAATTTAATTCTCACATATAGAATACGTATATTTAAAACTATATGGCAATTTCTCAAATTTATTTAAGTCAATTTTTGCTTTATTTATTTTAATAAAAAATATCTTGGAATTGCTATTAAGGCCAAAGCACTTCAGCGAATTATTCTAAATAATCTCATCAGGGGAAAGTATTGTTAAGAACATTTCTAAGTGAACGGTGCCTGAGAAATCGAAACACCGCTACAAATAGACAGAAATGTATGCAAAGCGACACAGCAAATTACATAATTGTAATTATGTATGCGTGTGTGCGTGTTATGTATATATTTAAATAATGAAAAATAACTGTATTCACCGACTAGGGTATTGCAATTTGTTCTACCCGCTGCAGATTCCGCCTTAGAGTAAATATATATACACATAAATAAATATATATGTACATTAACATCACATTGAACATTATTTTCTCAAAATGTATATCTTTAGAGTTTTAGTTTTTCTATATTCAAATTCTTATAATTTGTCTTCACAAAATATTTTCTTTTCTGTAAATATTTCTATGTATGTTTACATAATTCAATTTCCAAAATTTTGTAATTTTATAATTTAAGAGTAATAAATTGCATATATTACTTAAGTAAAATTTTGAAGTTTTCACTATTAGAATAGAAAAAAACTTCACAATTTTTTATTTATTCATAGCAATGTAAATCATAGAAAAAGAATCATAAAGATAATCAATAAAATATAGTTTTTACAAATTACTGACAATGAAAAGTCAGCTGATGATGTTAGCATTTAATTTAATTACACGCACAAAGTATAATGAATAAATTCACTTACCGATCATTGTACCATAAATAATATGCTCACAGCTGCACCTATGGAGAAATTAATATGTAATTCAGATATTATGAATTATCAAACATTTCATATGTGTTAGTTAATATGTATTATTTAATTATTTCTATTTTAATTAAAACATAATTACGTAAACTATAAATGCAAATTAAAATAATTGCTAGAAGTTGCAGAAATATTCATCAAAATGATTAATGTTTTAATATATATTCAATAAATACAAATTGCAACTATATATATATGTGTGTGTGTGTGTATACATATGCATATTATTACAACTGTATACATATTTAAATAATGAAGAATTAATGCTTACAAGGTAGGCTATTGCAGTTTACTTCACCCACTGCAGATTCCTCCTCATAAAGCTCAGCATCAACTCCATCGACGAATCGACAAATATCACACTCCATTAAATGCACTTTCATGAGCAAACATAGATATCATTTTCGTATGTTATGGCATCGAAATTTGTAAGACTGGAATTATGTCATAATTTTAACCGGCATCAACAATTGAATGATCAATGAAGTGCCGTTAACCACAAACACTCGCAACAAATAATACATTCTGACAATCGCGCACTGTTTTAATTGACACGACAAAAATTCGCACTCAAACATTTTTAACACGGATAAAATATATAACAAAATGGTTAACCGCATAGTGTTTACGCTGCTTTTGCGCCAAAATAACTGCGACTGCGTCATCAGCGATACATCACTAGTCATAAAAGCTCTTCAATTGTCAGAAATGCGGCGCGCGCAGTATCAAAGTTGACTAGGTTAGTCGTTTCATTTGAACTTAGCGCGAAACTACTAAGATGTAAATTTTTATAATTAATGTTAAATAAAACATTGTCAATCATCGTAGCTTGTTGAAAAATGTCTAGAAAACGTCTGATTCTTATCATGATATTTTCGTGTGTCTATAATATATAATTGATATAAAAAAACACAGTCACATCTCACGTCAAGTTCGCGCGCGATCGTAACCAAATTAAATTGTTTCGGTACTGCGAGCGCCGTAACTTCTAGCAACGTCTTTTCTTTGGCGCGTACGGAACAAGCGCAAGTATCGTGCGATTAATCGTGTTTTATTCGTGTCAAAAGTGCGTAATCAATGTATAATAAGTACGAATTTTCGTCGGGAATGCCGATTAAAGTGACGGGTGATTATCAGAATATATTGATTCTCGGGATTATCTGCGATTAACGGCGTTTCGTCGATCGTTAGCGATGTATGGATTGAAGCCAATGTGATTCTAATAATTACAAATTTCGATGCCGCAAATGTATGAAAATGACGCCTGTAATTGCTTCAGAGAGCATCAAAATATTAATGCACGGTAAGATTTTCAGCTGATACATGTTGAAAATTCAACTTGTCAGAATTAAATCAGATAAAACATTGTTTTTGTATATGTCCGTAGGTGATCATTTTTGCATGATTGTCAAGATGATCGTTATTTGTTTCGTTGGACAAAAGTGTGGACAGTCCCGAACGAATTACCGAATATGTAAGGTAATGATATTCGCGAACGCGTTGCGGAATAAAGTGCTTTTTTTTGCGTTCACGTTTTGTGTATTGTGGTGTGTTTTGTGTATTGTGGTGTGTGTTTTGTGTATCGTGGTGTGCAAGTTAGCGATATAATCCTCTTTGTAATTTTTGCATTTTTTCAAAAGTAAAGTGCGTAGTTGAGTTAATTAATAAAAGAGTTCATTTTCGTCTAATAATGTGTGAGTGAGTGTTAGTGTCCAGTATTCGTCATTCTTCGATGAAACTGATGCGGAGCAGTCTAAGAAGGCATCTACAGCAGGAAAAGCAAACTACAATACTCTAGTTAGTGAGTAAATTATTTGTTCATTATATAAATGTATATAACAACACACATACGTAATTGATATTTATTAGAAATTTTAGATTATTCCTGCAACTTATGGCATATAATTATGTTTTAATCGAAATAAAAATAAATACAATAATACGTAATAATCAACATATATAAAATATATAATTCATAATAAATAAAATGTATATTAATTTTTCTACAGGTGCAGCTATAAGCGTACTTAGCTAGAGTACAACGACCGGTGAGTGAATTTATTCATTATCTATGCATAATTAAATGAAATATTGATATCATTAGCTGGTTTTTTATTCACCAATAATTATTAATCACTGCACTTTAACAATCTTACCCTTGTTTTAAATAAAATAAAAAATACAATTTTTTTCACTAACTTAACAATAAAAAATTCTAAATTTTGTATAAATCATGCAATTTATTATTCTTTTAAATCATAAAATTATAAAATTTTTTTCAAAATTGTATGTTAAGAAAAATTAATTTAAATTATAAAAAATTGAATTATAGAAATTATAATTCTGAAGATATAAATTTTAAGAAAATATATTTAATAATTTCAATAAACATACATGTTTTTCATTTAATTTTATTAATAAGTATAATCATTGAATGTTTTCCAAAAAAGCATATTGTTAAAGTACAGTTTCAAACATGCTAAATAATTGGTGTAACGAAAAAAACCAATACATTTTGTGTTAGTGTATGTTATTGAACAGTTTTAACAATTATAAAATTCATAAGCCTTTGTAAAATTCAAGGGTCTTTTAAGTATAATATGCTTCTCGAAAAAAACTTCTGCACAGTAATTAAAAAGTATTAATTACATACCTTTTTCATTGCAATTCCGTTTATAATTATTAAAACAATTGAAATTATTGCTCATTTATAATTCATAGTTGCGGTACAAAATACATATTATCTCGCGTTTGCGTTTCATGTACCGCAGCATGAAAAATTTTAATTTTGACACAAATCCGTGGTTTTTGAAAGTAAAATAAACTTTTTGTTCAGCGATGAACGAATTTTCTGGTATTCATACATATTTTGATGGAACTGATGCAGAACAGTTTAAGACGTAAATAGATTTAACTGCAATATTCTAACTGGTGAATACAATTATTTGTTTATTACCTAAATAAGTGATAACACGTATAATTAGTATTACACACAAATCATAAATCAGTAATTATCCTTGCTTGAGAAAGCTAAAGCATGTATTGTATTTAAATGTATATAAAACCTTGCTCATATATTCAAAACATGAAAATATAAGAATTTATATACAGTAGGTCAAAAACTTTGTTAATGAGATTTACGGGAATTTTTCGGAATACTACAATGTTGAAAATATAGTTAATTAGCTGTCTCACGTCGCTACTTACCTGTTCGAAGCCACCTAATATTTCCGTCGTGTCTATCGCAGAATTCACAGCTATTGACTTCAGTTTCTGCCCCGTCAAAGTAGCAAGTAAACGAACCACGTTGCTCTTTCCGCAACCAGGACCACCGACCTAGTAATTTGTTGATTATAATTAATCAAAGTTAAAATCTTAATTAAACAAATTATATAAAAGAAGCATACAAGTATAGACATCCAATTCATTTTGACGCATTGCATGAGACTTTTCAATGCAGTTTTCTGATCTCTGAGCACTAATAAATTGCAGTCTTCGTGTGTACTGCAATTTTTCCGGTCTAACGTCACATCGCCAATAAAAAGTTTGTCCGCCGTGATATGCATGGGCAACTGATTAGGTGGGAGTGGATATTCCTCAAGCGAGAACATTTCTTTGTATATTCGATAGATCTGCAAAACAAATTCAAGGTACAAAAAATGTCATATAATAAAAAAAGATTTTATATATTAGATATTTTTAAGAAACACTAAAGCAATCTCTTCTCAATAAAATTCCATTTCTTTGCATTATTTCGCAAATTTCAATATTAAATATTTGGTAGACTGTAATTTTATAACAATTATCAACTCACTTTTTGCCGGTCTTCATTAGTTCTCATTCTATTAACATAAATAAGCTCCACAGTGTCACCCGGATTAAAATATTGTTTATTGCTGCAAAATTTGTTAGCAGCAGCTTGAATAGTCATTTCACACCAGCGAGTAATATCTCGTAAATTCATTTCCCAAGGCGATCCAGCATGTCCCCATACAAATCCAGCTTCTGAGGCTAATTTGTTGTTGAACTGTACCATATTTTTTATCAAAGCCGCAGAAAGTTGTGGAAATTGCAGATTAAGTATAAATTTTAAATCGTCCTCCATTAATGCATCTACAGAAATCTACAAAAATTTTAGAATACAAAAATTACTCTCAAAGCCATTTTTCTATATATACATTCTATATAACAAAAATTATTTTCGTAATTTGATATCATGCTGTAAATATATAAGTACCTGAGTGAATCTATTTAAAAAGGACTTCGGTAATCCTCGCCTGGCCCCTCCTTGGCGCAGAGGATTCTGACAGCCAAACAATCTTGTGCCTGGCTTAACTAAGAAAGTCTTCGCCAATTCGGGAATGTATATCTCTCCTCTTTGATCAAAGCACGCGTTGAGACCTTCCAAGACCGATTGAGATGCCAAGTTCAACTCATCCAATAGAATCCAATGTCCCGCTCGTAAAGCTCGCAAAAATGGTCCATCTCGCCATGCAAATTCACCGCCTTTCCCGTTTTCTACGGGGAGATCGGCACCAAACAGGTCGGATATGTCCTACAATCAATAAAGATATTTATTTTTATTTCTAACACAAGAAATCATATTTTAGAGCATGACAGAATTGTCTGCCACCTTTTTAGGATACGTACCGTTTGATCGCTTAAATTGATTCTAAGCAAAGTGTGTCCTGAAGCTTTTGCTAGAGCAGAAACAAGACTGGTTTTCCCTACACCCGGACTTCCTTCCAACAAAATCGGTTTATTCAGCTGCAACGCTCTTAGCAGTTTTAACGTATTTAGTTTTGTAGTGGGAGTCGTGAATGTAAATTCGCAATCTTGGCAAAGCGGGCCTTTTTCGATGTAAAATGGTGGCACTCCAAATACATTCAAAGCATTTTCAACTTTTTCCTTCACGACAAAAGTCTCTATATTAAACTCAGTTTTTATTGTATCTTCACTCACTGATTTAATAAATCGAATAGCAGCTTCTGCAAAGTTCTTCAATTTATTAACGCTGAAACAGATAACAAATCAAATTGTTGGATATTGTTACATAAAAATAAACGAGTGTTACGTTATAAAGAGAAAGAATTTATATAATATTACTATTAGAAATTAAATCAAGACAAATTGTTAAATTTTATCAGATCTAAAACAGAGCTAAGTCAATAATTACAAACAAAATTAAAATATCAGAAATTCAGAATTCATATTATTTGCTAAAAATACTTACTTCTCTGAACTTGTAGAGCCAGATCCAAGACTATCGATATACGTGAGACAAGCACCGTGATAATAGACTTCTGCAATTGTGAGTTTTGACAAGACCGCGCTGCAAGTGCACCTATTTATGAAATCGACCCAAGTGAGCATATCTCGTATGCTTACGACGAGCTTTTTGCCCACTTCGGTGGTGTGCAGCCATTCGGTAAATCTCAAGATTGCAGTGGCAATGGCCTCCTTTGTAGTTTGAGAATCTATGCGAAGATTGTGCACTATTATATCATGCAAGTCATTCTTAGTCATACATCCCTCGCACCATATCTCCGTGAAGCGGTTCCGCAAGGCCGGCGAAAGCTCCTTTTTACCGTAATCTCCGCCGGGATTCATTGTGCCGATGAACACAAATTTCTCATCCGCTACAATCACGGTGTTCTCATCATCATGCGAACTATCTATCCCTTTCTCAGCCAACAAAAGACTTCGCTCCGGTTCTGTCAACAAGAAAATAATACAAGTGGATTTATGATAACAAAAAGAATCGAATTTTATCTTCATGTTTCTTTAAATAAGTCTTTCTGAAGAAGTTCCTACAGAATCAATTTTGTAGCCTGCGTCTCTCTCGTACTTACCCAATAATGAATTTAATCTCTCCAAAACGCTATCGTCAGCCAGCGAAATTTCATCGGCTAAGAATAGATCGCCGTTGCGCATAGCGTTTATCAGAGGGCCGTCCACCCATTCAAAGAGTCGTTGATCATCCTCAACATGTTCTCGCACGGGTCGCAGATTTCCCAGGAAATCGGACGACTCGGTATGCATGTGGCTGTTCACGCTATGCATAGTTTGTCCATTAATAGCGGCAATAAGCTGACAGATTGTAGTTTTGCCTCCGCCAGTCTCTCCGACTAGCAACACCGGCTCCTTGAATTGACAGGATTTTTTCACTAATACCGCCATTCTGCGCATATGATAAGTCCACACAATATGGTCGAAGCCTGGGACGCTGTTGTTCAAAATTTTCTCCAATATATGCCTCGTTACAGGTGAAGTCTTATCGTTCAAAGTGAACAAGCTATCAGGATCCACGTCTCTCTTCAAATGCTTTTTTATCACTTGTCTTATTTGGTCCGCTTCTTCCGCTTTGCGAACTTTAGCCGCGAGAACGAGGTAGCCCTCGTCCGCTAGATGTTGACGCCAATCGTACAGTTTGCCCACGTCGTCCGCCAGTCTATATCTCTCGCCCCAACGAAACAGATCTCGCAACGTTATAAATCCTTTTTTGCCAGCAAAAGCCGCTGTACTTTTACGCCTTATCTGAAGATCCGTCATCACGTTAATTATTTCCTTGCAATACGATTCGGGCATGCTGCATCTTTTGCCGAGTATTATCTGCAGTTCGTTCGGTGGTATCTCATCGAAATGTAATTCTACAAATCGATTTCTGAACGCACGAGATAAAATTTTTCGACCGCCGTAAAGTCCGGGAGGATTCTGCGTCGCAAACAGCATAAAATATCTATGCGCTTTCACAACTTCATGCGTCTCAGGTATGAATAATTCTCTATTGTCGTCCAGAACTCGATTTAAAGCCTCCAGGACGTCGCTCGGGGCTAAATTTAACTCATCCAAAATAATCCAGTGTCCTTTGCGCATCGCATCAACTAAAATACCTTCCTTAAACACCAATTTTCCAGTCTCGTCCGCCATGTAACTCCCGATGTACTCTTGTAAATCTGTATGCTCGTGATTGTTTATTCGAACACAAACGTGTCCCGTGATTTTCGCCAAATATGTGATCAAACTAGTCTTTCCCACCGACGTGTCGCCTTGTAGTAAAACTGGAATTTTACCAATTGACACCACTCTTACCAAGTCCTTCAAATTTCTTCGAACAGAATCAGTTAGTATGTAGTTGCTAGGTGTTTCAGGCGTTAAGTGTCCTTGCGGAACCCAATAACCTTCGACCTGGATGTACTCTTCTCCAGGACATTGTGGCTTCGAAATGGGAGTGTTAAGGATTGCTTTGACGTTCTTATTATTCAGGATAGCCTTCACGATCATTTTCTGCACGATCGGATACGAGTTGTAGTCCAACTGCGTTAAGAAACTTAGAGAGAATGCTTCATAGAGGGACCTCAAGCTGTTGCCGCAAGGATTTGATGCGGAGATGTACAGTGCGCGACACAGCGTCCTCAAACTATAATGCGGTTTGTGTGCTGTGCCGTCGAACAGCGTACTTATAGCTTGTTCCCTCACATTCAAGTAGAAATTTACGATTGCCTCATGTATATTCAATGACAGATTCTGGCTCTCTAAATAAGAACTCACCAGCAATCGAAGATCTGGCTTTTGGATCAACTCGTCGATGTAGAATTCGGTGAATCGGTTTCTCAGGCCAACCGGCAGGTCTTTCTTGCCGACATCTGTGGCCGGATTCATACAGGCAAATATCGTGAAGTCGGGATGTCTCTTCACAGGCTCTTCATCTCCGCGTTCAAGCAACGGCAGTGATTCCGAGGAACCCTCCAGCAAACCAGAAAGGCATTGCAGCGTCTCCGCGTTCGCCAGATTGATCTCATCCAGGAGAACCCAATAGCCATTACGCAAAGCTTTGATCAAACTGCCTTCTATAAACGAAAAGGCCAGCGCGTTCTTCACTTGAACTCTCAGCTTATCTAATTTTTCCTGCATTCTCTCCCATTTTCGTAGCATGTCTATTTTGATTTGAGCCTCGTTATCATTGATATACTTCTGCCGAATTTTTTTATCTTGTTCCAAATATTTTGATACGTCTTTCTGTAATGTAACTTGATCATCTTCGAAATATTTTTTGCACTTGTCTCTCAATTTTTTCACAGCGCAGAGCGTAATGTGCCTCATCACTTCAATAAGAGACTTCCACTTTTGTTCTTGGTAAAACAGACCGATATGCTTCAAAACCAACTTGTTTCGCGATTCGACCACAAAAAAATTGCGAAACATGAACTCGAACTCCTCTCGAATCGGCCGGATCAAAAATTTCAAATCAACCGGTTTATAGCCGCCTAATAAATCCGCACTTTCGCTCTGCTGGTTCATATTTATTATCGTCAGCTTATAACCAGTACTTTTCGCCAAATATTGTACCGAACTCGTCTTTCCGGTACCAGTCTCGCCGACCAGTAGCACAGGTTCCTTTTGCATGACACAGCTGGCTATGCGCTCTAGCAAGCATGCGGAAGGTCTTGTAAAAAAGAATCTGGTATTGTCTCTCTCAAATGTCACATATTCCGCTTTTTTGCGAGTTAACTTTGCTCTGCCCGATATTAGAACATTAGGAAGCAAAGATATAGAAGGCTTATGTAAGTCACAGAAGTATTCCGCTTTGGTCTTTACAATGCCTAGTTTTTCAGCCACTGCTATCGCCAAGTTTAATCGTTGCACTATAAAAAGACAATTAATGATACAATCAAAACTGCTTTAAGTAAAATTATCTTACATAATGTTCAATTATATAGAAAAGTAAATAAAAAATACAAATTTATTATGTAAATACTGATAAAAAATTGTTGTGTATATATATATCTTGATATAATAGAAGTAGCTATTGAAAAACGCACCTTGATTAGGAACAGAACAACAAAAGATGTCTAAAGCATCCTGATATATCTTTAACGCAGAATCCGGCGATGATACGTCAAAATTGACGATAGCTCTGGAACACCACTTTATCAAATCACGTGTTGACGTCTGGCGTCCAATTTTTAGAGACAATGTAGCATCATTTGCGCTACTTTCATCGTGATCTCCTACGGAAAACAGCAAGAACACATCCACTATTCTAGTAGCAATCGTACTTAATGGGCGAAAAATTGTTTGTACTATAGTGACTAATTCATTCTTGGATAGCGGCTCTACGTTTAGACACAGCCAATGTTTCTGCAATAAACTCGAAGATCCTGTGACATGTCTCTGAATGCCTGTAGCAGACATCATCAATTGTTGAGTGACAAACAACTGGAATCCACTGTTGGTGTAAATAGTCTCGCGATAGCCGGGCACACAAAGGGTTCCTGTTTCTATTAAATTACTAAGAACGCTGGCCACGTCCAGAGCAGCACTATCTATGTCTTCCAAAAGCAACCATTTGCCAGCAACAACCGCTTGCGTCAAAACACCCGGTTGCCAAACAAATTCGCCAGGCACATCGGTACATCTGTACATTCCCAATAACATCTTCGAGTCAGTCTGATCTCCCAACTGTACTTTGACAAAGTTTGACATATCATGTCCGGTAACTCTAGCTAAATATTCCACCAGAGCGGTTTTGCCACAGCCGACTGGTCCTTGCAAACAAATACACTTCCTAGAGCCAACGGCTATAGCCAGATTTTGTAAATTTTTTCTTGTAGAAGTGACTGGTAATAAACCATAAGTTGTCTGATTTTTGCTAGAAATTGGTAGCAAAATATCACCAACAGATACAATAGATGAAATATTCTTAATTGTATCTTTCATTGATTTAAAGTTCGCACAAGCAATTTGAGTATTTATATTCTTGTTTTCATAATCAGTCAGAAATTTTTCAAAGTTTGGAATGAATTGTTGTGCGAGGCACAGTCTTCTTGCTTCTGACATATCCAAAATTATTGCTAAGCATTTCAAGGCAATCCTGAAAACAAATTAGTAAATTTTTTATTTTAAAGCAATAAGAAAAATATAATTAGAACTTTCTTAGATACACTGCTTATCATTTTTTAAAAAGAAAGCTTCTATTAATACATTTGTTATATTTACCACTTCACTCTGTCATCTGCATTTGTTAAATACGTGTACAATTTAAACCAATGCCATTTGCGTACAAAATAATTGACGGCTGACTGCAAAATATTGTGACATGCAATAACAATGTTATAGTCAGATACTTCTGAAATACTATATAATAATTGTTTTTTATTTCGTTTTTTTGGGGGTGCATTGAAGTAAAAATATGCATCGAGAGACTCATATGGTGCTGGATTAACATCAAAGTAACGTAAAACAAATCTGAAACGAATAAATATTATTATACAAAATTAATCTATTAGTACAGCAATGTTATATATATCCTTATTATATATTATATATAATCTTATATATCTTATGTATCTTATACAGGATGTATAAGATAAAAACTGGTGGTACAAATAAGAAGGGGATGATTTTACATAAAAAAATAAGTTAAAAATGTAGAATGAAAATTTTTTATATAAAGTTTTGTTTTCCAGAAAAACAACTTTGAATATTTGTCAAGTAGGCGTGCATTCAACTGTCTCAATAGAAGAACTCACTATATTATTTCTGCATTTGTTTTTATAAACATTGTCGATGACAGGATTCCTTTTGTATCAATTTCTAGTAACTTTGTCAACAATAAATCAGTCTCTATCATTCTATCGATATAATTATATATAGTAATCGGAAATTTACAGATATGATTTGTATCCTCAAAATACCCTTTTGATATTGGTAATGTTTGAAAACACAAATGCATGCAGAGATAACATATAGTGAGCCTTGTTGAAACCAGGCATAATTAAGTACATACGTGTTTGATAAATATTCAAAGTTTTTCTGGAAAACAAAACCTTATACACAAGATTTTTGTTCTACATTTTTAACTTATTTTTTTCATGTAAAATCATCCTCTTCACACTTGTACTATCAGTTTCCAGACACCTAGTATATGTTATTAGGAATCTTATATATCTCATTAGAAATTTTATATATCTTAAGACAAGCATATATTACTGTAATAAATACATACACTAGTAAATCTTGATTAAAATTAACAAGCATGCCTAAGATGACACAGTTTAATCTATGAATATTATTTCTATCACTTAATGGATATGATAATATATCATTTTCAAGTATCGCCATTGAAATAAGTGCTGGTAATAATTCAGGAAAACAATCAGCCACATCTTTTATACACTCTGGTTGCATCAAAAATTCACATAATATTTCCAAAATTCTGTCAGGTTCGAGTTTATCAAGTTCCTATATAAAAAGAATTAAAAATTAATTTCATGTTTACTAATGTTTAACACATTTTACACGGCGTGTACTACCAGTGGCCCAGACTGAACTTCCCTATTCAGGCTGCTTAATATTTTGAGTATAAACAAATACATTATCATAAAACATTTCGTAATTAATTTTTTTTTGTTTTACACTGCATTTTGTAAAATGTTTCTTTATTTTAATAATAACACATTTTTCAATCTTAACTTTATTATAATATCTACGTTTTGAACTCAAACAAATACGCTAGCATAAGGCCATCGACGGTACACGTGGTCTGAATGAAAAAGAATGCAAAAACGGCTCGGCACAGAACATTGACATATAATTCGATAAAAAGAAAATGAATAGATAATATATTGAAAGAAATATGCAACAATTAAAAGAACTGTAAACTAAAGCAATATTTAAAATAATAACATTTACCCCAGAAGACGAGAATCTCTGTTTATATTTTTCATTTCGCTCACAAAAAATTAACAAATTTTTATCAAACATTGCAAGCAATTATATCTAAAAATCTCGATTAATTATTTAAAAAGTCAAGATACGGTATAACGACAACGTAGTTATAATAGGTTATAATTCACATAGGACAACACGTGGTCACTACACGCCATACTCGAAATAAGTGCCAATAAGTGCAGAAACTTGCAGGCTGTTGCAAATAGGTAATGCTCGTAAAGCCGAGAGCACAAGCTTTTACATAAAGCATAACGCATAAGCATAAGGAAATTGATTGGTCTATATATAAGCATAAGCAAATGCATAAGGAAATGGACCAATCAATTTCCTTATGCTTATGCGTTATGCTTTATGCAAAAGTCTGTGCTCCGGCCATAACCCTCGTAACTCCTCTCTTGGAAAAGTGGAGACAGCTTTCTGCGCCACCATACAGCGGAAATTAAGAACTAACAGTGAAGGAGCGCGCAATTCAAAAATGTATATATATCATTGAGCTATATACATACTGCAGTTATATAGCTTAATGGCCCAACTTATCAAAAACAAAATGAGTATATTATATAGCAAAAAAGAGAGAATATTAAAACAGTTTTTAGGCATAACGTCAGAGAGATGGAATAAAAAGTCAAAATAATCAGTGCTTATGGAGATAGTGATTATTCTAATATTGTAATTTGTCGATAATCAAGATTGTTCACATTTTTTTATGAATTTTTATTAATAAAATTATACAACAGCAAGTATTAATCATATAAAAAAATTTCTTTAAATATCTTGGAAAAAAAATTTGTTTAACATTTTCAAAGTCAAAAGCTCAATAGATCTGCATGTGTTTTGAATTCTTCTTGGATTCTCCTTTCGATTCCTGGCAATATTATATTGTCTGCTGTTACATTAAAGCTAACATATACCGGCTTTCCGAGCTTTAGGCTCAATCTCTTAGCCATGTTCATTGATGTAGCATCTGCTGTGGCACCCATAATCTTAGTTGTAATAGGTTGTCTCTCAAAATTTGATACGAGAGCAAGTGATAGATCTTCCATGTTGGGATTGTTACAATCTCCTATCCACAAATACAAACAATCTTCCATCTTTATAATTTGACAATTAATAGTCACATCACTGACTTTGGCAGTAAAATTATGAAACTTAAAACTGCATGGTAATAGTTCCTCTTCAGTTTTCTGTTCAGTTGTATTTGCCATCCTTTATTTTGGTCCTTCCAAATTATCTACAAATAATTATATAATTTTTAAATTAAATTAAGTTAAGTTATTAAAAATAAAAATATAATTGCAGATCTAAGCGCGAATCATCTAAACAATATATATTGATACTTTAATACATTATTTATTCTTCAAACTTTTTAAAGCATAGTAAAATGTTATATTTTATCTTATAGCAAATAATACACAAATTTATTATGATATAAGGAATATTTTAGTAGAAATTTAAATTTGAGAGTGAATTACATTAATAACAAAATGTAAACAGCCAAGTAACCAACAAATAAAGTTTGATTTATTACCTTGCGTTTCAAGTAGGTGAAGTATATAAAATTTGGACGGCTTCCAAATCGAACTATTACTTATCGTTACTTATCGTTATTTATGTTCAATCGTAAAATATAGTTCTTGAAATTTATAGTTCTCTCTTTCTATAACCTGTTTTAACCAATGTTAATATTTTTAACCTCACATTGCCATCGTGTGTTGTACGCTTGAGTGCGCTTGAACCTGCTTGAGCCACTTGAACGTTCTAAAAATTGCGTTTAGAAAACACTAAGATTGAATATGATTGCTTATGATTGGTACGATACTTGTAGATCTACCAATCAGATTTTTGAATGGAGTTGTTCACTTCATTATTGGTTTCTGAACACAGTGACAGTCTATGCAGTGTCTCTTTTTATAACCTCTTTATGGCGATTACACGTGCCAGTATAGTTGTGTGTTGTTTTGATTGCTAAACAAGATGAAAACGAAAAAAGAAGATGTGAAATCCAAGAAGTCACTTCTAAATAAAACTGCTGATAATAAGAAAAAAATTCCGAGGCCAAAAGCAGGTGCCAGTCTCGAAAAAGCTGTAGAAAATGTGAAGCAAATATTTAAGGTTAGGTATATTTTTTAACAAACAGTTTGTATGAAACTATTTCTAACATTCTTATTAAATTTTTGTGATATTTTTTACGTATCAGATTATTTTGTTACATATTTATGTCTATAAATACATATCACTTTGGTCATATGACTGTTTTGTAGGTTAACGTAATAATTGTAATATTATTTTATCTTTATAGCTGTTTTAAAAAATATCACTATTTTAATCAAAGTTTTAATAATAATTTTATTAGAAATTAGTTATTTAATTAGAAATTTAATTAATATTCATCTATCAATGAGTGTTTTTTTTTGTAAAGGAAAAAGAAGAATCTACCTTCAAGAAAAAGATAAGAACTTCAAATCAATCTAAGCAAGTTAATGTACAAAAATCAAAATCTAAAGGAATAGTGTATGTGGGTCACTTACCTCATGGCTTTTATGAAGAACAAATGAAGGATTATTTTCAACAATTCGGGAATGTAACAAGAGTAAGAGTGTCAAGATCTAAAAAAGTATGTATTAATATATATATTATGTATCAATATATATATTATTTTAAGTGCTCTATCCATATAATAATCTATAATCATCCAGTAACAAATTATTAAATTTTATTTGTAGACTGGAAAAAGCCGTGGCTATGGCTATGTTGAATTTTTTCATTCAGAGGTTGCTAAAGTTGCAGCAGAGTCTATGAACAATTATCTCATGTGTGGTCGGTTATTAAAAGGTATTGTTGATTTAAAATTACATTATTGCATTAATTAGTTAGTTTTTCTTTACTTATATGGCGCATGTAATTTTTAGCTAAATATATTCCACCTGAAAATCAGCATTCTGGATTCTTCTCGGGATTAAATTGGTCAGAAGATAAGTATCCTAAATTAAAAAATAGGAAAAAAGCAATACGGAATCTAAACCGTGTTCAACATATTGGAAAACATGAGACATATGTTAAAAGAACGCTCAGCAAACTTTCCATGTTAGAAAGTAAACTGCAAAAACAGGGAATTAGCATAAAATTTCAACCCGCTGATGTACTCAAAACGTGATATGTAGGCTTTTTTTTTAGCTTTTAAGCATTTCATTTATTCATACTGAATAAACAATAGGAGTTTATCTACGTAACTAATACATGTTTCTATAATACCTAACATAACATTGAACTTTTTAAATATATAAATTTCTAAGGTTTCTATGAATGATTTGCATTACTGTAAACCATAATGTACAATTACCTCTAAGTGGTATATATTGAATCATTGACATTGAAGAAATATATCAAACAGTGGTTGCTTCTTGTACATTGGCTGTACTTCCTTTTGTTCGTTTCCATTTCATACGTCTGTTTTGAAACCATACTTTCACCTGTAAAAATACAATTATGTAATGAAAGAATATGAAAGTTCTAATTCAATTAGTTATAATATACCTGACGTTCTGTCAAATCCAGCGCTACAGCGATTTCGTAACGGCGCAAACGTGTCAAATAATTACTATGCGCGAATTCGCATTCGAGGTGTCGAACCTGTTGTTTCGTAAACGCAGTTCTCTCTTTTCGTGGCTTTTCACTTGTCCTCTTTGTTGTTTCTGTAATCGATAAATGATAAAAAAAATTATAGCTATGTATTGTTCAAATTATAAAAATTCTGGTATTCTGTATAAGATGTATTTTCTATACGGGAAAAAATATGCTTCTACTTTTCGTTTTATTCAACAATTTCTCCATTTTTCTCTTCTTTTTTCCAAAATTTGCATATATTTTCAGTAAACACAAGCTAACAGTAACATAACGTCAATGTTATAATTTCCCACTTAACAATGTAACTGCAATATAACATGTCTTGTACGTAACAATTATGTTGTTGAGTGGGAAATTGTAACATTAATGTTATGTTACTGTTACTTTGTGTTTACTGGGTTATTATTTAAAATATTTATCTATGCAATATGTCTATACGAAATAATTTTGTATACACTCACAATTTTTAAGTTTAAGAGTTCTCTTTACACTTGTATCAATGAAAATTATGAAAACTAATAACTTATTATTCTTATGTTTTAAACAATAAATGTTCAATACAAAAGGCGCAATACAATTTGAAAAAAAGAAATAACTTTATGTTATTTCTTGGACACTCTCTCGTGCTAGAAGACTAGTCCAGTTTCCTTTTAGATAATGACATAACGCGCTCATCATCCGGTCCGATCTCTCTTTCTTGCTGCGCGACTTTCCGCATTTTGCGGCTCGTCGCAGCGGCTGCTTTTTGTTGCCGGTCAGATGAAAATAACCATGCGTATGATGCGTCAGTGCGTATTGCACCGACGCATCCATCCGTTTGTCGCTTGCGAAACCCGCTTTCTCTAAAAGCACAACTTCTATCGTATGGCGACACGTGGTCATGTGAGAAGCGATAAGCTCTCTTTCTCGAGGCTCTTTGCCTTGCTTCCGTGCCGCTATCTCATCTCTAATTGTTAGCTGACGTCAATCGCGAGATCTTTCGTAGCCCGCGGCTTGTATCGATGATTACTACTGAGACAGTTACGCGATACAATAGATTGGAATAGTAAAATGCGTTCTGAATTGTATTTTGACCAATTTACAACTTCAGTGACTGCACTGATTGATGTATGTGATATACATCATACAATATATGATGTCATAAATTAGAGCATTTTATTGATTTAAAAAGGAGTGTCAAAAACTTCTAAATAAAAATATTTAAAAAATAGAATACTTATCACAAAGTCACTTTGACAATAATATTGATTCACAATATTTAAAATGAAAAAATTAGCTGACTTTATTAATTTGGATTGTGAACTTATTTTTATCTGTATCATAATATTTTTCCTGTTAGTTAAATATTAAATATTTATCTGAGTTAAATAATTATCTTAATTAAATATTGATTAAATATGAATAATTTCAATTCAACGATATCAAAGCTCAAAAGATATCAAAGCTTCATTAAATCAAAATTATTTTGACTTAAAAGATTAATTTGCTATTTGATAAATTAAGCAGTAGAGAGAACACATAAAATAGTATAATGACGAGAGACACAACACGACGTTTATTACACGAGATATGTGCGTACCAGCTCGATGCCGTTAGACATTCAATAAATATTTAGGTTGCACTGGGCCTATTATGACCACATTGGCGACACTAAAGACATAAACCTTCCAACTGTTATCAATGTTTTACGTCAGAAATCTATTGAAACTACAATTCTAAATGTTCCAAGTTAATTTATTACACACAGCTGTGCATAATTATAAAAATTTTTATGATAACGATTTAGATAATTGTGCTAAAATTGTTTTTAGAAAATTGAGAAAAACTGTCCTGAATAAATGCTATGCTCACATATCATTTATACATTTTGATATATATTATTATAAATTGTCTGTTAATTTCATCATATCTCACATTAAAATTATTTTTCAAGATATTATAATGAATTTGTTTTTGAGCAATTGATAGTTTTTAACAAAATTTTCGATATATAATTTTAAATTTATATTATTTTATAAAAAGTATTTTTTTAAGTGCTAATTACAAAGTCATATGTTACCTCGTTCTCGTTGATGCGGACGTGTGGTTTCCCCTAAGATTAAATTCACATAATTTTTATTATGTTGTGGATCTTGCCAGGATTGATACTTGTTCTCCTGCTCGCAATCTATAATCGTATTCTGCAAATGAGGCATTTCCCAAGCGCGAAACATCATCCCTGTGTTTGTCGTGGTTGTTACCCGGCGATTTTGATTATTTTCGTATAAGAAATCTTCCGATTTATTCGGAGATCTCATATCCTCTTTATCGTTTAGTTGATCAATCATTGAATAACAATCTGCAGTATCTTGTTGCGAATACTGTTCCCATCTGAAATGAAATATTGCAATAATATTGCACAGCAAAGTTTACATTGCAATAATTTACCTGATTTTATAATTTGATTGAGAAATCACACATAAACATTGTTTTAAATAAGCAGCAAGTTGCAATAGCAAGAATTTAAAAAATGCCATTTATATTACTACGTTATGCTATAAAAAAGAACGCTACAAATTCTTTCTTTAAAGATTTCGTGTTGCAGATATTGTATTTGAATGCTAAAGCCTAAAATACTTAAATATTGATACAAATATGATACGAGCAAATGTTAATTTCCTTCCGTATCAATATTTTTTCATAAAATATGTACGCTTACCTGCACATATGATAATTTTGATTGGTGTCTTGAAAAAAATTCGTGATATGAGGTGGAGGGAATAAACGAGCGGTATCATCGGTTGTAGCGTCGAATCCATTACAAGAATTCGATGGGTTGCTCCATGACCACCTGTGATGCCAAGGTGTCTCGCAACCTGTTGCTGATCTCGTGCTCTGCCCTTCCATTTGAAGAGATGATGGTGTCGGCGGTGTCGGTGGTAATTCAAAATGATCAGATATCCGATGACTGTTCGCAATCGTATCTTTTGTCCACGACATAGCAATAAAGGTACTAACAGTTTTAATGCATATATAAACGCAGATTTTTTATCGAGTCTCTGCAAATTAGCAATTTGCGGAATTAGTCTATAAGTATTAGCAAAAGAAAATAGCGTAAAACAATTAAGTTTGTGATAGTCTTTCAAATATTATTGATTTGCATCATTTTCTCCCTTTGTTCTTCTATTTTTTAAATTTTTTATTTAAGAAGAGAAAGCAGAAGAGTGTTAGTTCAAGTATTTATCTCAATCCTGAAAATTTCTTGGTCAAACGTTATTATTGAATTTTTAAAAACTTAAGTAATAATAATCACTTCTTTATATCTTCTTGCTCTCGGTTTTATCTGTCCGGATAAAATTCCAAAATTGTGTTAAAAGACAATTCAAAATAATAACTTTAAATGGATCACTTAATGTAATATCTGTCAGCTGTCACTGCATCTTGTTCATTATTCAAGAAAATCACATAATAGAGCACAGGTTCACCATAGGATCACTTTACGCGCGACTCGGTGCGAATTGTGTTAGCGCCCACTCGGAAATGTCAAATGAGCACATGTGACGGCATGTCATAGGGTCGCGAGAGCATCATGGAAAACGTCGGACGACAGTCGTAGGAGTAGGGCCACTCGGAGGCTCCGGAATCTTTTTCTATGTTTCTCTCGGCTTTTTGGCCAATCCCCAAACATGAATCGTTTCTCGTAGCCAAAGTGACTGGTCGGTGTTCGCGAAAGAATTCGAAATGGTGACACACGAAGGCGGTCGTCGAGTTTTTTGCTTTTCGGCTGTACACCATTTGCTGGAAGTTATGAGTTTTAGAAGACGCATGGAATGTTGTTTTCGCAGTTTATTTCATTTGCGAACTGCTGAATTTGTAGTAATGTGTTTCCATGGATGTGAAATTTTTGATGGGATAAATAGATAATTAGAAATATGTTAAAGATAATTACATATATATTCCAAAACTCATTTTAAATATCTAAAACACATGATAAAATTAAAATACATCCTAAAATGTACTTCAGATAACTGTTGCATTTATTAAAATTTTTAAATATTTTCACAGTCGCTTAAAACGAAATAAACTAAATTAAACCTAGTGAAAATTGAAACATTTACTTATTATATTAATTTATTTAGTCATTACATCATTTGCTGGAATTAAATTTGACCCGTCACCCTAATAATTAAAGTGTTATTTAAAAGTACCTCCCATTTTGAAATAGAATACTAACTTCCGACAACACACGTGTCCAAGTATATTGAAAAGGAAGAAATAATTCGCTTCGGCTGACAAAAATGTTAAAATCTTGTTCAGTGAGAGAAGACCACCCTGTAGAAAAATAATATAGATTATTTTTTTATTGATTTATTGTATATGAAAGTTTATATGTGTATTATTTATAAAAAAAATTTATTTCTTGCAATTTTCCTCATTATTAATTTAGTCAATGTTTCAATTATTCAAAATTTGTCTTTTTTTCTATTGTCATACAGATTTGCATGTCTTATTAAATTAATACTTACAAATATTGGTTTATTATTATTTTTGTAATTGCTAAAAGAATATTAATAATTTTAAAATTATGATATATTGAAAAAGAATTTAATCAGATTATCAGGAAAAATTTAGCAATAATTTATGGTACACACACAATTATGTGGATATGATTTTAACTCTTGCGAAAAGTATTTTATAAATAAGATATTGTGTTGATTAAGAAGTTTCTTCGGATTTTTCGTTAAAAATATTTAAAAGGCAAAATTCAAAATTACATTCTGATCAACTCAATATGTAAATAACATAATGTTAGAAATATTAGAAATCTATCGCGCGTGTAAACATGACTGCTGCTTGACCAAATTTATTTTGATTACTCTTTCCTTATCATTAACATAAGTTTACAACACTTTCATGTAATTTAATTAATGTGACATTTCCAATAATGAAATACGTTGAGAGCCATTGAGGATTCGAGTGTTTAACAAAAAAAAGAGCGCAACACTTTTGCTATCAACGAAAGCGACGAGGATAGAAAGAAACGCGGAAAAGGAGAATGAAACTGTTTTCCTTGTCGAAGATTCATTCACGATTTCGTCGTCGGTGTTTCATTGAGAATGGTCATTACTCCGTCAACGAGATGTGTAAGTCAATCTCAGCGAGGGCCCACCTAAGAAAACACGAGGGCGGGAGGGAGGGAACGAAAAGTGGCAGTCATGAGAGCGGGTGAAGGGAGGCTCGATAGAGCTCCGACGCGGCATTTCGAGGGTTCGACTCCTCCTCGAGGGTCGCGCATCTCCATTATTCATCGGCATTGTTTAACTTCCTCTTTCGGGTGTGTCCGCGCCCCTCCGAGTGCTGCTTGCACGCGCATGATGCCGAAAGAGACGCGGTCCATCTCGTCGAGCACTTGGCTCTCGGCACAGGAAGCGGAATTCCCTGAAACACGAGACACTGCTAACCGTAAAGCGGTACCGAGCGGTCTGCGAAGACGGGAACGCCTGCTCGGAAACGCTTTTTCACGCCTTGCAACTGGTGTTACGCACAGATTATCTTCTGTAACCGATAAATATTGAAATACGTTCATGACAAGTACAATTCTTAATTATTAAGCTCAATGTTTTTTAGTGAAGATTTTATCACACGTCATTTAGGATAAAAATAAACATTTGCATATAACATAGATTTAAATAGGAAATTCAAATCAATATGTTTCTGATGATAAAAATTAAAGTATACATATAGTGTAATTTGTTGAAAAACTGTTTTTAGTCAAAGCTCGAGCTCGTCGAAACCAGTTAAATCAATATTACTTGAAAAATAGCTTTTTGTATTGTGAAAAAAATAGTCACACTATAAATTGCACTGTGAATAATTGTTTTTTAAAATTTCAACTTTTTCAAACTGATTGAAATTAAACTCGTCGAATTGTCCGCAAGACTGACTGAGAAATAGAAGTTTCTTTTCCCACGAGTTTTATTTTTTAAAGCGGATATTTAGAACGAACGATATCTCATAAACTGAGGGCGTTTTTCGTAAAGTCAAACTCCGAGTTCCGTGGGACGTTACGTGAAAAAAAGTGAGATCCCACAATGAACACTTGTCATAGGCACAACTGAATCTTCTGGCGAGTATAAATCCGTGAGTAAGGTGTCTGGCTTTCTCATTAGCCAAACGAGGATTCTCATGCAACTAATTCAAAAGTTAGATGCTGATGCCGACGTATCATAGGCGCAGCGCATCAAGTACGCATTAGACACCCACGTGTCCGTCGCGATTATCCAATCGGTCTACTTAAACGAGTTAACCGCTCGATGACGATCTATGCAAAAATTACTCATAATAATAAGTTACTAAATAATTATCGATGACAAAAAGCAACTTCGTAATTTTTGAAGAATTACATATAGTACAAAAATATAATAAATTTTACTTTACATTATTTTGTTACTTTTCTAATCATTTATGACATATTCTTGGTATTATTTACAATTCGTGTTATCGCGTAAAGAATTTTGACAATTCAATTTGGAGAATGTCTTATAAATATACAGCGATAAACGTGTGCTGCAAATAATTAATTAAGCTAATTTTATATTTTGAGATTCAATTAAATGGTAATTATACGAGCAAAAGTAAAAGAAGTAATATAATTATTGTGAAATGTTACTTTTTTTACTTTTGCTCGTATAATTACCTAATGATAATGAAAAAAATCCTTTTACTTTTCGATTTTTTTCTAGTAAAAAGGTAATTTTTATTATCTTTAATTTTATTTCCTTTTATTATCTTTAATTTTGCAGTATTCTGCTTGTATTTTTTGGGGCCAGTGAGTTGTTTTTTGGCTCTAATTTTGTCTGTTTTGTCCGCAATGATTAATGTGCAAAATGACTTTGACCTTTTCGTGATTTACCGGAAGTCTAGAAATTACGCGAGATGTGACGACGTCGCTCATACATTCTTGACGATGCATTGCACAACGAGATTCACGCTTGTTCGACAGCATGATACTCGAGAAAAAGTTTCGTGCAATCGGTAGTAAACATCGATGTAAAGCAGAGAAATAGTGATGAGCGTACAGTATACAAGTGCCTCTTGGTGTATTTTTGGCGAATGTATCTGGCCGAATCACGAACCCTTGACGCGTTTTCCATCTTTCGACGCAGTTGCCGTTAGTTATCCGTCGTGGCAATGTTCGTGCAATCATTAAATTCTGTGTAGCACCTGTTCACCAATAAACATGGAAAATCGTCGAACACAAGGTAAGATGATGATGATGAAAAAAAAAATTGATTGTAAAAATTGACTGTAGTTTACGATGCAGCACCTGAGACATTTAACAGACTCATCGCATTATCACGCATGATACACATAGTGCTTTCACAAATCACAAGATTTAATAATGAATAAAAATAATATTTTACATCATAAATAAAATGTTATAAATGAGTGAAAAAAATGCTTCAGGAATTTCAAATTATGATCACGGGATTAATGAGATAAGCCCGCGATGGCGAATGAGAACACGAATCGCGGTGATGATACTCATCTGTGTAGTCGTTGGTTCGATGATCATCTACTGTTTCGTCAGTTCGATCGTGGAAAATCGACCGAATGGTAGATACAGGTCTCATAAAAAGGCTCATTTGGAGAGATTGTCCGATCAAGTTTTACCGTTGGAATACACGTAAGCATTATAATTAACATCGATCACGTTAGAAAAACTGAAAACTGAAAAGCTAGAGACACAGAACAGAATATTTAAATATAAATTGTATATATTTTTGAATATTTCAACTTTGACGATGAAGAGAGAAAGAAGAAATTTTACGTTGAGATATATCTAGATGATATTTAAATGAGTTTCGTTAATTTTAGATTTTAGAGTTGTGAAATAATATGCAATGTAAAGTTGACAAGTTCATCGTTGCGTCAGTCAATCGTGACTGACATTCTGTTTTCCACCCGCGCCGTGTCAGATATGAGTGATTGCCCGCGTAAACCAAAATACTTGCAGTACGTAACTTCACACGATAGACTGCGATTAAGATTAACATTAGAATCTGGATTCGAGCATAAAGCGAGAAAATTAAATATTTGCATTTAGATCAAGTAACATAAGATACCGAAATCGAAATGACAAAAATACTCACGCACCGCTGTCGTCTTTAATCTCGCGTGCCACAATCTTTCTTTGGTAAAATTTGGGTTGCAGTTTGAAAATACTGCCTATATTAGAAGAGGGAAATTTTACAATGTTTGGCGACGTGCAGATCCACTTTCATTCCAAGATGCCGATTAAGCACATACGCTTTCACGCCTACAAACTCCTTATACAAGACATTAGCGTAAGAGAATATCGTTCTTCGAACGCAACGGAATACATTAATAAGTACGACGTAATGGACGAGGAGGACTTTATCGATGTATACTTTCTGCAATTATTGATAACGAAAGTGACTTACGTTTTGCACGTAAAATATACGGTCCCGCTGCATCAGGAGCCGGTAGGATTCTTCAGGAGTGCGCACATCGATCAAGATACCAACGAAACCAAGTAATATGATTCGGCACAATAAAGTGATGTTAGATAATCAATAATGATTATCAGAAATTTGTTAATGTCGACAATAATTTTTTAAATATTTAATTGTTTGTACAATATTCTGTATTAATATCCATTCTTTAAAGAGCAGTTTTCCCTGTAAATGAAAATATGAAATTAAGTTTAAATTTGATCAAGTTTACAACTATAATTATATCAATATACGAAAAGTAATACTTGCTGCATCTTGCGTCATATTTGTATTTTGTGGCAGCAAATATTTCTTTCCAGATGGATAGCGGTGTCGAACCTGTCTCCAGATTACGCTCGAACGGCATATCCGTGTTTCGACGAACCTTGGCTCAAGGCGCCATTTCGCATCTCGATTGGCAGGAAATCTAACATGCGATCGCATTCAAACTCGATGCGCAAATTCACCGAGGAAATGTAAAGGAGATCGATCCAATCGCTGTATCGTAACATACCGCATCGTTAATTGCATCCCCGATCACTACGTAGTCTTACTCATCTAATCACCGAGTTCAATTACAGAATAGTTCAAGTTTTTTTTTAATTTAGTTCCTTTTCTTCAGACATGATATGCCGGGATACGTCTGGGATCATTATGAGAAGACCTTACCTATGCCTACTTACGTCGTCGCTTTCATGGTCACCGATTTTTTGAGCTACGACATTGATGTCGTCGATCGACCGTCGCACACGATCTTTTTCAGGAAAGAAGTCGCGAATAATATAAAATACATCGGCGATCTGTTACCGAAAGTGCTCCGTTTAATTCAGAACTTTACCACATTTCATTACGAAATGGACAAGCTGGATGTGATCGTAGTTCCTCAGCTAGCTTACTCTGCAATGGAAAACTGGGGCCTTATAACATTTCAGTAAATAAATTAATGTTTTTCTATAATTTAGGTTTTTTAATTTAGGATATTTTGCACGAGATGTAATTAGGATTCGAATGTGATTGGCATTCTGTTTTTTCTCAAGAAAAATTTAAAATAATGACTACTTTATAACATTACATTTTTATATAGAAGAACAGGCCAATTAACAAAATTTTAAACGCGATTTAAATCAAAAGTTGTACTGATATTTTTAGAGAAGCTTTTATCGTCACAGAGGAAACTGGCATCACTGATTCCAACAAAATAGTGGCTGATATCGCAGCGCACGAAGTCGCCCATCAATGGTTCGGCAATCTGGTGACGCCGAAATGGTGGGATGACGTATGGTTGAAAGAAGGATTCTCCTCATTTTTCGGATATTTAGCATTAAGCGTGGTAAAGTCGACGCAAGTCAATTTTATAAATCGTGCTAGCTCGAAATTATAATTCAATAGAATTATTTCGCATAACAGCTATTTTTTTAGTCTTTCTTAATCCTTTAAGTTTATTTTCCAAGTGCAAATAGAAAGATTATTTTTTCTGAAAAAATTATATAGAAAAAAAGTTATTAATAAAACGTAAATATAATTGTTAGTTTTTATGGAATTCTACAAAGCTAAAAAGTTGTACAAAAAATCAAAGTCGGTTCCCAATAATTTTCCAATAACTAATACATAATTTTTTAATAATTATTATTATTAAAATGATGCTTTAATGATTCTATCGATAACAGCTATTAATATTTTATCGTTGCACAATCATAGTGTTGCGGCCCGAAGACCGCGATTATCTCGCTCTATCTTCCAGCTCGAGCCTGTATCCTGGGATCTGCAGACCACCTTTCTGATGGTGTGTCGCGAGGTGCTTGACAGTGACGCCGACGAAACGGCACACCCGTTGCATATCGATTTGAGAAAACTGAACGGGCTCTCTAGCGTCTTCGACTGGACGCCGTACGTCAAAGGCAATTGCATGGCGCACATGATCTATCATTTTCTAGGCGAGCGGATCTTCCTCTCGTCCGTGCGCCGCTACATACGTACGTACCACTATCGCAGCGCCGATCAGGAGGATCTCTGGAGCATTTTCCAGATGCAGATCGATAGAGCGCACGGGTTACCGGCTTTCTCGGAGCTCCGCATGAAGGACATTATGCGAACTTGGACGTATCAAGCCGGCTTCCCAATCTTGAACGTCCGACAGAACCGAGAAACCGGTGCGATCGAGCTTACACAGGTGCGCCGAAATTTATCACAGATTGATCTTCAGGCGTGTTTCTCCATCTTGTTTCATCGACGACAAATTATTTATCGTTGGGATATATTTTTACGATGGTATTAATCATCGTTACTTCTTTTAAAGTAACGAGAGGACAGGAAGTTCTGTAGTCTTACTTCGGGAATTAATTATAAAGAATACGCTTCTGTGCTTTGATTGTCTGGTTACGGGATCTTTCAATTAATGTGTAGTAATTTAGCGAAAACTTAATTGAGTTCCACGCTTACTCACAAATTTTTTATTTTTCGAAGTAATTGGTGATTAATTTTTGCATTAAAATTTTATTAATATTAAACTTGATATTATAAATGCAACTTATTTCCTTTATATCATATTATTTCCTAATGAAAAGTTACACTATAATTAAAAATTTTAATTATTGCCAATCGACAATTTTTATATTAATTTGTCTGCTTTTGATTGACAATTTTAAAGTTTCTCAATCTTCATGTGTGTCATTATTAGATTTTTAATATAAAAATTTGTGAATAAAGCGCTGCGAGTAAGTTTTGAATAAATATTGCGATTTATAATCTCTTCTATTATAATAGATAGAAGTAAAACACAAGCATGAGAAATGTGTGCAGCGGACGTCGGGAAAAAAATTGCTCGATTATGCGATGTTTGTGTTCAGGACCGATTTTATCATTACGGCCTAAATAGTACGAGCGAAGAATTATGGCACATCCCGTTGACGTGGACAACCGAAAATGAACAGCAATTTGGTAATACCTTGCCGAAGGCATGGATGGTCAAGAAACGCATGAAAATTAACGACACTGTTTTGAGCTGGGCGAGTTTCAACAACCAGTGGATTCTGTTCAATATCAATCAAACTGGTAATATCACTGTCGTAACATCCGCCGATCAATTAAGAAGATAATATCCGAAGCAATATTTCTGCTGACAATGACTGGTATCGATCAATGTGGAAATAAAGGTTTTTTGTAATTTTATAAGTGTTTGCTTTATATACAGGGTGTTCCAGAATTATTGTGAATTACGGATATTAGAAGTTGAGTTAAGAACAATGTCGAGAGATTAATAGTTTGCAAGTTGTAGCGCCATTTTTCTTGGAGATTGTCTTCTTTGTATCTTGGAAAATTCTGTCTGTAATTTATCTTAATCTCTTTTGTTACTCACAGCTTTGTATCATGTCAACTATGATGTAGAGAACTGGAAATTATTGACGAAGTCCTTCCATACTCTGTCGGAAGTAGTAAAAGCGCAGGTGTTGACTGACTCGTCTGCGATAGCTAATGCCGGATTGCTCGATAAAAGAATCATGTGGAATATTCTTGAGAAACTAGAAGTAGAGAATAGTGAAATGTTGTGGACAGTCGCGATGCCTTTACTGAGCACCATCCAGGATCGTTTATGGAACTCAAGCATATTTAATGTAATACTTGCCGCCATCAATACTGCATGCTTACCTGAATAACAAATTAATTTCAATATAATTATTAACATCGCCAGCATAAAAGTGCTCTTTTTCTCACATGTCATGCAAAGATGTACGTGTTATTTTAATATTATTTTTTACAAAAAGCCGAAACTCGAATAACGAAAAAAAGAATAATTATATGCATGTAAATTGGTAGTCCTGTAAATCTCTACGGTATTCTCATTATATTTCAGTTATGGCTCTGTTCAATTCTCTCGAAATCATAGATCTTGCGAAGATTGCAAAGCAAAGGTAGTCACGCTTTGCTTTATTATTAATTTATACGGCCGTGATACGATAAGATATGCGAGATATAATCGACGCCGCCTCGCGCGATCTAAATCGTTCGCTATGCAGTTGTGCCTTATGTCGTTATTACGCGCAGTTAAGGCTTAAGTATGGCATTATAAAGCGTATGATTATCTCTGAGACAGATATATAAGCGATCATCGGCCCATCCGCCGATCGTTACAATTCGACGTTCTCAATTAGGTCGAAGGACTCAATCATTATTTGCACCAAAATACGAGGCGCGTAACATTTAATTAAGTACTCGCGCCGACCAATGTTGTCGTAACAGTTCTCTTTTCACAGAAGCCATTATTGCAAAAAATATACGAGGGAAAGGTCCTACCGCGAACGCAGAGGCGGGCAGATCGCGGTTTCTTCGGGCGTACGACGTCCGTAAACCTAACGTGCCAAATTAAATAAATACGCAGCGGCGTATCTCCGCGTTTAATCCACTCGGTTTATTGCTCGTAAATTCTGAATAAATGGAATTACTCTCCTGCGCCTTGCGCGAATCAACCGCAGATCTCCATAATGTTGCGATAAATATCGCCGCCGGCTACTTTACCTTCCTCTGTGCAATTTCACAAGAACACTGATATTTTGCAAATAAGTGAAGCGAAATCCAGAAACGGGAAAGTGATATCAGCTCGAACGGTATTACAGCAGACGATGGTACAATCCTTCTTCTTTCTAAAGAAATATTTCTTAAATGTTGTGATAATCTTGTTTGTGTTTACAGATTTTTGTTAACAATGCCTGTATATTTTTTGTGCTTTAAACAATTTTAATTTAAGAAAAGGTCTTAATATTATTAATTTTTCTCGTTTTATTTAGAAATCTGCTAACTGTAATCTTGCGTCTAAGTAAAAAGTAAAAATTCAATTGATTTATTTCAGTTTGTGATGTGCAAATTCATAAATAAGTTGTACAGCGAAACGGCTCCGTTTTTGGATCGTAAAAATCCCGCATTATGGACATCGTTCGAGATCAATGTAATGAAATCGGCATGTTCGACGGGCCATCGAGAATGTTTAACAGTGGTTCGCAACTTTGCCCAAAAACTATTACAAAACGAATCGTCAAACTTGTACGTATTGAGCGATGTAGCTGCAAATACGTATTTATCATATTTACACTTTTAGTATGAAATATAATTATTCATTTTTATGCCTAAATTATTCTATATTATTATTAATTGAAAAGTAGAAAATCAAACATAAAACATGTGGTGAGAACACATTAAGTATTATTATGATAATGAAAAAATTATCTGGTGAATTAGTGTTTCGCAGGAATTCCGTCGCTGGGCGTACTGCATACTCATGAAAGACGTCACGGAGGAACAGTGGCTAACACACCTAAAAAGATACAACAAATCAGAAGTATATAAAAACAAAAGTCTTGCTTTCGCATTGGGATGTCACACTAACGCGACTTTGCTGCGAAAGTGAGATTCTGTGATTTTAGTAAAATATGATAAAATTACACTAATAACAAAATATGTGAAAATCATCAAAATTATGGATCAGTAAAATGATTATACCTTTAAAATATAATTTAATTAATGATAAACATTTTTAACAGTTTCAATATATGATTTTTTAGACTCTTTTATACATCATTGTATTATACACTCACCCGAAAAAAAAGCGGTACACTGAAAATGTGGGAAAAATTCATCAAATTTCAACTGACGATAACTTCGTAAATAATAAAGATAGAAAGTTCTATAAAATATGGAAATGAAGCTAAAAATCTCTACTTTAAGAATCAATTTATTTCAATGTTGTAAAATAAATTTATTGAAAATGGCGGATGACAAAGCGCGAGCATGCAAAATTGAAAAATAATGGTTTGAGTTTGCGACGGTGCACGGTATAAACAAAAAATTGTAGCTTATTGGGATCAAAAGCGTACGAAAGTACAGAGTCTCCTCTTTAAAATGCTTTTTTATGCTTCTCGATACGATGATTTTTCGCCGAGAGATTCGCATTTGAAGAAAAAGGCAGATTCTTACTTCAAATGCGAATCTCT